AGAGTGACGTTTTTATCCTTATTACCTTAGTTTACATAAGGATTTCTGACAACATTCCTAAGAACAGGAAGCTGTCTACCATTCTCCACATCATCACAGAATACAATACACATGCAGCCCAAAGCTCATCACCTTTAACATTATATATGGCTTATATAATGACTGTTTTGTTTCTTTACCAAAGGGTTTTATTGTAGATGAAGCAAAAAATAAACAAACATATGGATCACAGAAATAATGACCATCAAATATAAATTGTACTGAAGAAATGGAAGTCAGTTCAAGTAATGCATTGGTAGAAGCATAAATCGAAAGATTTACATAAATGTTTCATAGTTCTAGATAGTGATGCAAATGTAGCACATGAAACAGTAAATTCAATCTGTAAAGTATGATTAAGGATAGTTTGGACAATAGATTAGAAAGAGACAAACAGTAGAGAGACACGGACGAGAAGAGAAAAGAAAAAAAAGAAAAAACACAAACCCGAGAAGGGCTCCGAGGCAATCACGGCAATATCCATCCTCATATCGAAAGAAGAGACTGGTCAAATCTCGAAGGCTGAGCTATATCCAGCCAGGGACGCCATACCTGCAGAAATTTTGTATGGGTATCCAACAATATGGCCGTCAGTTTTTTCATTAACCGTTATGAAGTTCATCCGGTTTTTGACAGCTTCAAAACTAAGGAGAGGAGTTTTCCAAGCTCTCGCAATTGTCAACTTCGTTGCCACAAATAAGTGTGATGCCAGCTGCCGTTCAGAACAGAGGAGACCCTCCAATGATTTAAATAAGAGCGCTTCATACGGATTACGCTTAATGTCTGTGTGAAGCATAGTGCGAAGGAGGGCATACACCCTAATCCATAGTCTGTTCACTTTAGGGCAAGTCCACCAGATGTGGGCCATGGTACTCAATTGTTGGCATCCCCGAAAACAAATCGGGGAATATGTAGGGATAAAACTAGCTGACTGTTTTGTTTCAAATATTCTGCCAGTCACTAGTCTGTGATCTCTCACAGACCTGTAATATGTTTTAAACTCATGTGACTGTCTCATATGACTGTAGACGATCTAATACTTTGGTATTAGTGGTGGGGTTGGCCAGAGCAGGTTTAGCCCTAAAGCGTAAGATAAGAAGGACAAATTGGGTCCTATAGTGTAATTTTTTTTAAACATGTTTTAGCTTTATTTAGTTAGCAGGAATACAGTGAACTTGATGCTGAGTTATTCACTTTAAAGTCAATACAAAGGACAAGGGAGGACTCTTTGGGGAGATTTACTAAAACTGGTGCACTCAGAATCTGGTGCTGCTTTGCATGGTAGCCAATCAGTGTCTAACTTCAACTTGTTCAATTAAGTTTGGGCAATAAAATCTAGAAGTTAATTGGTTTCATTGCAGAGCTGCACCAGATTTTTTACTCTCCAGTTTAGTAAATAACCCCCTTTACATCTGGAGAAAAACAATTTAACCTCCACATATGGAAAGGCTGCTTCACAGTAAGAGCTGTGAAAATGTGGAGTAGGTTCCCTCAAGAAAATGTCCTGGACAGCTCAGTAGATTGTTAAAAAAAAAGCTAGATGCATTCCTAAATGCACAAAATATAATTGGATGTTAACATTTATAAGAGGGGAAGGAATTATTTTCCCCCACTGGAGCAAATGGGACCATGCTATATATATTTGTTTTGCCTTCCTCTGGATCAGCTGTTGGAATTGGTTTTTGTATATGGAGGTGTTCTATTTATGTTATTTTTTTCTATTGGTTAAACTAGATATTTTTTCAACTGGAATATATATATATATATATATATATATATATATATATATATACAGTTGCAAGAAAAAGTATGTGAACCCCTTGGGATTACGTGGAGTTTTGCATGAATTGGGCATAAAATGTGCTCTGAACGTCATCTAAGTCACAACAATAGAAGAACACAGTCTGCTGAACATAATACTACACAAACATTAGATGTTGCCATGGTTTAATTGCACATAACATGTAAACATTCACAGTGCAGGGAGGAAAAAGTATGTGAGGCCCTAGCTTAATGACTTCTCCCAGAGCTAATTGGAGCCAGGAGTGAGCCAACCTTGACTCCAATCAGTGTGATGATATTGGATGTGTTGCTGACAGCTGTCCTGCCCTTAAAAAACACACACCTGTTTTGGGTTTACTGGTTTCAAGAAGCACTGTCTGATGTGAACCATGCCTCGCAGAAAAGAGCTCTCAGAAGACCTACCATCAAGAATTGTTGACTTGCATGAAGCTGGAAAGGGTTACAAAAGTATCTCCAAAAGCCTTGATGTTCATGTGTCCACGGTAAGACAGACTGTCTACAAATAGAGAAAGTTTAGCACTGTTGCTACTCTCCCTAGGCGTGGTCGTCCTGTAAAAATGACTGCAAGAGCACAGCGCAGAATGCTGCATGAGGTAAAAAAGAATCCCAGAGTGTCAGCTAAAGACCTACAGAAATCTCTGGCACATGCTAACATTTTTGTTGACACATCTACAATAAGGAAAACATTAAACAAGAATGGAGTACATGGGAGGACACCACGGAGGAAGCCATTGCTGTCCAAAAAGAATATTGCAGCACGTTTGAAGTTTGCAAAAGAGCACCTGGATGTTCCACAGCACTACTGGCAAAATATACTGTGGACAGATGAAACCAAGATTGAGTTGTTTGGGAAGAAACACACAACACTATGTGTGGAGAAAAAAAGACGCAGCACACCAACATCAAAACCTCATCCCCACTGTGAAACATGGCGGAGGGAGCATCATGGTTTGGGGCTGCTTTGCTGCCTCAGGGCCTGGACGGATTGTTGTCATTGATGGGAAAATGAATTCCAGAGTTTATCAAGACATTTTGCAGGAAAACGTACGACCATCTGTCCGCCAACTGAAGCTCCACAGAGGATAGGTGATGCAACAGGACAATGACCCAAAGCATACAAGTAATTCAACAAAACAATGGCTGCAACAGCACAGAATACACCTTCTGGAGTGGCCCAGTCAGAGTCCTGACCTCAACCCCATTGAAATGCTGTGGCATGACCTTAAGAGAGCGATTCACACCAGACATCCCAAGAATATTGCTACACTGAAACAGTTTTTGTGAAGAGGAGTGGTCCAAAATGACTCCAGATCGTTGTGCAGGTCTGATCTGCAACTACAGGAAACGTTTGGTTGAGGTTATTGCTGCCAAAGGAGGGTCAACCAGTTATTAAGTCCAAAGGTTCACATACTTTTTCCTCCCTGCACTGTGAATGTTTACATGTTATGTGCAATTAAACCATGGCAACATCTAATGTTTGTGTAGTATTATGTTCAGCAGACTGTGTTCTTCTATTGTTGTGACTTAGATGACGTTCAGAGCACATTTTATGCCCAATTCATGCAAAACTCCACGTAATCCCAAGGGGTTCACATACTTTTTTCTTGCAACTGTATATTCCGCTGGCTACAAAAAACTCAAACGCACAAGTTAAATATAAAAATGTAGAAAACAAGGAAAAGAGTATGAAAAAATCGACACATTGTATTTTTTTTTCCTATATAAGTATATGCATGCTCTTTTTCTGCTGTAAAATTTTATCATCAATATTTCATGTTGATTTTGTTTTGGATGTGGATTACTTTTTTTTAACAATTTCTGAAAAAACTGTCTGTGGTTTACACTAACAAACTGATTGGTATGAAATGTTGACAGCTAAAACGGCTTCCATAGAAAGAGTTTTTCCCATAAAGCAGTATCATGGCGTTGTGGTTTATGGAGGGTAGAAAACATCCTTTGACGGAGGCTGTGCCTTGAGGTAATCCATTTTATGTCAAAAAAAACATTTATATCGCTATCTTTTACACCCCAGACAGTGCGTATTTTCTTATATCTTTGGGTTTTAAGAGCATTTAAAATCCAAGTCGATAATGCATAAAATGCAAGCTGATCCAAAATCAAAAAGTACTTTGAAACAATAAAATGAAATGAATGTGAGAAAAATTGCCATAGTTTTCTTCATTCTCTATATGTTTTCAAAAGATATGCATGCTTTTTTCAGTAGTTTTGTCAATTTAAACGTTCAGGTAGTATTCTTTATATCTGCATGCTCTGTACCTTTTTATACCATCTTCCATGATTACTCTATATTTACAGAGGCAGTAAAAAACATATTGGGGGAAATGGTCAGAAGGCATGATTAATTTAGCTTATTGAGCTTAGTTTTATATAAAGAAGGAATTAATAAGATATATTTGAGGGGGTGATTACTTATCCCTTTCCCCAAGAAGCAGCATGAAGTCTGTAATATAATATACTTGTCTATTGTGTGTACTCAGGGGTTCTCACCCGTGCAGGGTGAGGGGTTCTGGGGTAGGTTAGTTGGAAAGGAGAGGACTGATTGGCAATTCTCTCAGGATTGGTAGATCCTCCTTTGAGACCCGGAATTCAGAGTCTCAGAGAGACATTGGGTGGGAAAGAGCCGTACAGAAACTTTGGTCCCAAAAAGGTTAACCCACCCGCAAGGGAGGCTTATGAGGAAGCAGAAAGGAGTCAGCATCTGTCTGTGAGCTAGTGTGGAGTGGTTCACATCTGTGAGGAAGTGTAAATTTGGTTCCCCCAAAGTAGACGGGAACCCTTAACCTAAGTGTGGGATTGGAATGTTGGTGGTGAGCCGTTATGTTATCTTGATTATACCCGGATTCTGGACTGTGTCCATTATTTTGCTGAAGAAGAATTAGAATATGTATAGTTTATTGTGCCCATCAAACATGGAACAAATTTACAGAACGTTTGGGTTTTGGCTTTTGGGTAGACACACCTTACCTCACAAAAGTGATTGCCAATATTGGCACTGAAGGATACAGTGCTCTGTAAGCTTCCTTAAGAGCCTTTTCACCCCTACTGTAAGTATATGCAGTAATGTATACCATTAGTACAAATATTTTTGTTGTTTACCAGTATCCAAATTAATCTACTTAAAACGTTACTAAATCCAGGACCCTGCATTCATTATATCAGGTCTCCATTATCCATTATATCAGGTTACCACACAGAACAAGGAAATGCAATTATTTTAGTAAATATAAACTGCTAAATACCTTTTCCCATCAGCACTTAGAGCAGTCTTGTGACTTCTATCAGTGTCTAGCAGAGCACTGGTTAAAGCTTGTAGGAGGAGCTTTCATTCTCCCCTTCAATAGAATATAAATGTAAGTAGTGCAGCGCTAGAAATGAAATATAAGAATATACTAATAGTGATGTATAAAATAGCACAAACGTATAACAAATATTAAAGCAACACAGTATATCCTTAATAAATTATAGCAATGGTGGAGCTGTATTGAACACCTTCACTAATATTGTACTATAGTAATATAACACACAGTGCAAGTGATAGTCCAAAATGACTAATGGTAGTAAACCGCAATATGGCTGAAAATGGTGACTTGGTAAAATCTCAGTGAAACCTGTAATCCGGTGCCGTGCAGGAATAATAGGTGAATTGCACACTCACCAGTGGCGCAATTTCAGTGCGCATTGTGTCATATACACCAGAGGTCCCTTCGGTTGTAGATGGAGCGTGGCCTGGAATGGATGACTCCGCGATGAATGACGGAACATCTGGGGGTCCCCTTAATTAGTCTAGCTAAAGATGGGATCTCCTGATTACAGCTCTCCTCTGGGCCCTGGGATGGTCACCTGGTGGTCCTGGGGGGGGTTAAATTGAGTTTGAACATTGTGGCTCACATTCTGAGAAGTGCTGAATAGGATGCCTTTCTTTAGGTTATTTACAAATACCTTATTCTTCTTTTCCTTCATATACCTGCAAGACAGGCATGAAAAAGGCAGGAAGCTGCCATCATGTTAAGGTGTTGCCTGGAGACACTGCTGGACTTCTTTGACCCTTTCTGGCCCTCTGGAGCAGGTCAGAACTTCAAAACCCTGTGGTAGGACAAGCGTATGCTGGCAGTGAGCCAAAGCCACTTCCACTGCTCTCAGTATAGCCAGGAAGAGGGGAGGAAAGAGCTGTAGCCGGGTATAGCACTGGATCAGTTAAAGACTCCTTTTGTTACTCTGAAGGAGTAGCTGTTTGTCTGTGTCCATTTGCCCATTTGCGCTATATACTCCCCTTCCCAGGGCGCAGAGGAGAGCTGTAATCAGCAGATCCCATCTTTAGCCAGACTCATTAAGGGGACCCCCAGATGTTCCATCATTCATCGCGGAGTCATCCATTCCAGGCCACGCTCCATCTACAACCGAAGTGACCTCTGGTTTATATGACACAAATGCGCACTTAAATTGCACCTCTGGTGAGTGTGCAATTCACCTATTATTCCTGCACAGCACCGGATTACAGGTTTCACTGGGATTTTACCAAGTCACCATTTTCAGTCATATTGCGGTTTACTACCATTAGTCATTTTGGACTATCATTTGCACTGTGTTTTATATTACTATATTACAATATTAGTGAAGGTGTTGGATACAGCTCCACCATTGCTATAATTTATTAAGGATATACTGTGTTGCTTTAATATTTGTTATACATTTGTGCTATTTTATACATTACTATTAGTATATTCTTATATTTCATTTCTAGCGCTGCACTACTTACATTTGTATTCTATTGAAGGTTTATGGTTTTCCTTTTTAGTGTATCAGCTGCTGTCACTCGTTAGCACTCACTGAACCACATACAACTATATTTAATTCTCCCCAGATTGTCCTATGAGGCTGCAGGACCTGTGACCTTCTGTCTGGACAGCATTAATTGTCCTTGTGCTGATTACATGCACTTTCCTACGAAAAAAAAAAAACTCTCTAGTAATACACAGCAAACTGAGCATGTGCAGGTTGCCCCCAATGCTCTGCTCTATCAGCAGATGGATTGGGGACAGTAGAAGAAGAGGAAGATCAGAGAAGACAGGATCAAACATCCTTTTTACACAATGCAGAGGATTAACCCCTTAGGTTCCACAGTGAGTATAACAAGCATGCTTTACTGCATATACAGACCAATTTTACTGTTGTGGGTTTAGTAACACTTTAATGTTCATACCTGTGTGGGTGCTTGGGACTGCACTTCTCACAGCTGCAACCACCCGCACAAAACAATACAGGAGTTTCAGGACTGGAAATCACAGCAGCTGCTTCCATTATTGGGAACTGCACTTCACTTGCGGTTTCCTTGTGGGCTGTGATTTAAAAAATGATGCAGGGACCTTTCGCCTGCTCTTCCAGGAGCATGGCAGCCCATTTAAATGAATGGGCTGCTGTTCCAACACAAAACGCAGCTCATAGAGCCACAGTAGTATGAACCAGATGTACACAACAATCGTGTGTGGCTCCCAGGAACCTAGAACTCCAAGACAAAAATATCGAAGCCCAAGTCCAGCCAAAACTTTTTTTTTTGGATAGAGTAGACAAGGATTGTAACAATTTATGTATTCTTAATTCAAAAAAGTACCTTCTATTGCTGTCAGCCTCCTCCATTAAGTAATGGATGTGTATGAATTATTTTTTGGAGTCTGAGGATATTGTTTAGTATCACTTAAAATCCTAGCAATTGAACTGAACATGTGCACTTACTAATCACATCTTTTGATTAAAAAATATGTTACAAATAAAATCTTTAAAATCATAAGCATGGTCTTTGGTTCTCGAATTATGTCTTTGGTTAACTCTCTTCCAACCAAAAGTGAAAGTGCTTTGTGAACTTTGCGAATCCTGTGTATCTCTATTGAAACGCACATGTACTGGGTCTTGTCAAGAATGAAATAAAATTTAAATTAAAAACCTTTGAATATTCCAGGAGCCTAACGTGAAGACGCAGAGCTGGGATAAGTCTGTAAATTTATGAAAAACCAGAAACAAACAGGCAGCAGTCTGTTTCTGTATCTCTACACTAATTCATTTGACATAAAATAAATCAGTCCTATATGGCAACAAATTACTTTCTTTGTATCTATAAACACATTACACAAGAAAAAACAATTCAAGCTGTGGTGTGCCCTACACCTGTGCTCAATAGACAGACTCGCCAGAGGTGAATGACCTTACTAGATTATTCAGGTCAGGTCCATCCACTTGTTATGCACTCCGCTATTCCCTCAAGCAATGCAAAAATAAATCGAACTTCACATTGTGTAATACTTTTAAAGCACTTCACTTTATTAAAAGCAAGAGAAAGATAATGTACTCATCATGTTCATGGTGCTGTTTGAAGAGTGTAGATTGGAGAAACTGGGTCCACGCTAATTTCACAGTATGGAGTGAAGTCTATATTGCAGAACACAAGAGCTTGGGTTAGGCAGTTCTTAGGCTTCATTTACATTAGTGGTTGAAGAGGGTGATAAAAATGCGTGGTCAGCTCTAACCACTCTCCCCTAAGCTCCAAAGGCAGTGGATCGGGGTGTACACATATCATGACTGCGATGCTTTGCAAAGGATGATTCAAGAATGATCCCACCAAATGTGACACATTTAACTGATGCTAAGTTTTTAGGGGTTAAAACAGCTGGTAAGGAGGCATCGTAATGACTCTCTTTATTGGGCGATACCAGTGTAAATAAGCCCTCAAAGTTAAATTTAACTCTGCCAATACATCCATTCCAATGATCTAATGTCCACGAGGCTGGCACAGACATCTTCTCAGGGTCATGGGTCTTGGGTTGTCTTGATTTACCAGTACAGGATAACTTAAACTCCCATGCATGGACAGAATTTAAAACATTTTGGCATCAAGGCAGTCAATGAGAATTTAACCTGAACTGCACTTGTGTGAATTCAGTGTTGGAGCGCAAAATTATTTCAGAATTTTGAGGTCATTGATGTAGCATTCTTGTTTTCTCCATCTCCAAATTTGCAAATTATGTTTGTGCTCCCACTGGGATTTCCTCTCACTCTGTCTATTACCTTGCAGCAATGGGGTCCTGGGATCTGCTTGTAAGAACAAACTCTGCTGGGGCAGAGAGACTGATTTAAATTGTAAAGAATTACCTCCAGTTCATAGATAATGAGCCTAATGTAGAAGCTGAGAGACAAGTTCCCATCAAGTCTTCTCTTCCTTGTGACTGACAACAAGCAGTAGAAAGAATCCATAGCCAACAGCAGGCTGCACCTGCCCATTGCCTGCTGTCAACCACAAAGTAGCACACCTGACAGGGAACTAGGTCTCTGAATCCCTATCAGGTTTGAGAACTAGGTCTCTAAATCCCCATCAGGTGTGGGAACTAGGTCTCTAAATTCCCATCAGGACAGGGAACTAGGTCAATAAATCCCCATCATTGGGGGGGGGGGGGACTAGGTTTTTGAATCCCCATCAGGAGGAGGAACTAGGTTTCTGAATTCCCTTCAGGTGGGAGAACTAGGTCTCTGAATTTTCATCAGGTGGGGGAACTAGGTCTCTGAATACCCATCAGGTGGGGGACTAGGTCTCTGAATCCCCATCAGGTGGGGGAACTAGGTCTCTGAATACCCATCAAGTGGGGGAACTAGGTCTCTGAATCCCCATCAGGTTGGAGAACTACGTGTCTAAATGACCCATCAGGTGGAGGAACTAGGTCTCTGAATCCCCATCATGTGGGAGAACTAGATCTCTGAATACCCATCAAGTGGGAGAACTAGGTCTCTAAATCCCCATCAGGTGTGGGAACTAGGTCTCTAAATTCCCATCAGGACAGGGAACTAGGTCAATAAATCCCCATCACTGGGGGGGAACTAGGTTTTTGAATCCCTATCAGGTGGGGGAACTAGGTCTCTGAATTTCTAATCAGGTGGGGGCACTAGGTCTCTAAATTCTGCATCAGGTGGGGGAACTAGGTCTCTGAAGCCCCATCAGGTGGGGGAACGAGGTCTCTGAATCCCTATTAGGTGTGGGAACTTGGTCTCTAAATTCCCCATCAGGAGGAGGAACATAGGTCTCTGAATTCCCTTCAGGTGGGAGAACTAGGTCTCTAAATTTTCATCAGGTGGGGGAACTAGGTCTCTGAATACCCATCAGGTGGGGGACTAGGTCTCTGAATCCCCATCAGGTAGGGGAACTAGGTCTCTAAATTACCCATCAAGTGGAGGAACTAGGTCTCTGAATCCCCATCATGTGGGAGAACTAGGTCTCTGAATACCCATGAGGTGGAGGAACTAGGTCTCTGAATCCCCATCATGTGGGAGAACAAGGTCTCTGAATACCCATGAGGTGAGGGAACTAGGTCTTTAAATTTCCCATCAGGAAGGGGAACTATGTCTCTGAATCCCCATCGGGGAGGGGGGGTTGCGGACTAGGTCTCTAAAATTCCCCATCAGGTGGGGGAACCGGGTCTTCTGAATCTCCATCAGTATCTGCCTACCCAGCTACAAAACACCTTTGCCATTGCACTGTATGTGAGACAGATGCAGCGGTGGAGGGAGATCAGCTGCACTGTTTCAAACAAGTACATAAATTTGCTGCAAGGCACAATAAAACTCTAAACTGAATTCCTCAGAAGGTGTTAGATGAAACTAAGGAAAGCCTTAGATTATGCAATTTTCTTTTCTTCCACCATAGGGGGAAGGAAAGAGAATCACATAGACTGTGTTGATGGGAGAATCCCTCCTGCAGCGCTATTGTGTTCTGCCAGCGGTGATCCTTTCAGAACACAATGATTACTACTAGTGGCTATAGCCACCAGCAATAATCACATGTAAAAAAATCTGACAATCTGGTTGTACCCAAGTCAATTCATTGATTGACTTGAGTACAACATGGATTGAATCTTGGCTGTTCCCTGCTGAACTGGTCGAGATTGGATCCATCTATGGCCAGCTCTACTGATACACATATTTTGGCAATTTTAAAAGCACAAGGAAAAGTAGCTTACCCTTAGGGCTTGTTCACAGGAAGAAAATGAACATATTTCTGTGCCCAAGAGTCACGGGGGTGTTGCATAAAGCCACCTTTACAAATCAATGATCAGCTGAGACTGTACGCTTATAGCCTCACAACCGAGCGTTAACATGCGTACAGGGGTGGATGTGCAAGAGTTTGCCTTTAGGGCCATTCATTCATCCCAATGGGCGAATATGAGGTTCTTAGCCAACAGCCTCAGCCTGTCATTGGTTTTTACAGGTAGCTGTAACTCCCAGATGCAGCAATACACACATTTTTTATGGTGTATGACCCTCTTTGCCAATGTGCATAAGTACAGTATGTGCTAATAAGCAAACAGTATATTGTGCTTATTGGCTGTAATATAGTAGTTCAGAATAATATAACGATGTGAAACACTGCTAAAAGCACTGCAGGATATGTTTATATTATATAAATACAAGAAGAAAATATCTGGAGTGCTTTGGAATGCCAATGTTTGCTTATGTCTATTGTTCTGTGAAGGTGAGGTGTGTGATGGGGGGATGCGATAATAGTACTGCGCAAAGTCTTGAGGCTAAATTGCATCCACAATTTACACATAAATACTTGACTAAAATTGCTTGTAAACACAGATTATACTTTCATTATCTCAAGGTTAGATATATTCATGTAATAGAAATGATCACAGCCTCTGCTAGAAGCATGTTTGCCAATTGGCTTTGTCATTACGAACACAGTACCTGAAAAATCTATGCATATTGCTTATGTATTACTGTCGGCAAGTGTGCTTCAGCTGCGTTTCACGTGGCACTTAGTCTGGTTATAAAGGCCCAAGACTGCCATTTCACAAGCGCAGCATTTCATAGAAACGATTCCTAGGGATAGTATATTTACAGTATTTCTACATTCTGCTTCCTGCATTTCCAAAGATGGTACAAGCAAACCACCAGACTGTTTATGGGAGAGCCATTTAGAACAATCGGCTCCGATGCAATTCTCTGCAATGTTAATCAGCACTCAGAGAAAATGTGATCTTAAACTATATTTTCTTTGGCAACTTACTTGGAATGTAAATTAGATTGCTTTATCATTTTTTTTATTCCCTAAAATGTTCAACGACTTTTTTTTGTGAATGTAATGCCTAGATGTAACCTTCGAACCTTTCCAAAGTGCACATACAAGAATAGCTAATTACAGAACTA